TGTTGACAGTATTAAAATACAATACAAACACTGTCTCTCTCTCTTCAACAGTTCCTCTCTCAGTGCCGCTTCCCTGACTCAAATTATTTGTTATATAGTAGTGTTGAAAGTATTAAAATAAAATACAAACACTGTCTCTCTCTCTCTTCAACAGTTCCTCTCTCAGTGCCGCTTCCCTGACTCAAATTATCTGTTATATAGTAGTGTTGAAAGTATTAAACTAAAATACAAACACTGTCTCTCTCTCTTCAACAGTTCCTCTCTCAGTGCCGCTTCCCTGACTCAAATTATTTGTTATATAGTAGTGTTGAAAGTATTAAAATAAAATACAAACACTGTCTCTCTCTTCAACAGTGTACTAATTAAAATACAAACACTGTCTCTCTCTTCAATAATGTACTAATTAAAATACAAACACTGTCTCTCTCTTCAACAGTTCCTCTCTCAGTGCCGCTTCCCTGACTCAAATTATTTGTTATATAGTAGTGTTGAAAGTATTAAAATAAAATACAAACACTGTCTCTCTCTTCAACAGTGTACTAATTAAAATACAAACACTGTCTCTCTCTTCAATAATGTACTAATTAAAATACAAACCCTGTCCCTCTCTTCAACAGTTCCTCTCTCAGTGCCGCTTCCCTGACTCAAATTATTTGTTATATAGTAGTGTTGAAAGTATTAAAATAAAATAAAAACACTGTCTCTCTCTTCAACAGTGTACTAATTAAAATACAAACACTGTCTCTCTCTTCAACACTGTACTACTTACAATACAAACACTGTCTCTCTCTTCAACAATGTACTAATTAAAATACAAACACTGTCTCTCTCTTCAACACTGTACTACTTACGATGCAAATATTATCCCGCTCTTTAACAGTGTACGAATTAAAATGTAATAATTAAAATAACCAGTGTACAGGTCAAATGTAATAATTAAAGCTCTCGCTTATCAGCTCTCTTTTGCTCGGCTTTTACTCTAATTGATAAATCAGTGTCTCACACCGTCACTCCATGACTTAATCTCCGTCAGTTCCTCATATTCAAATATTCGGACAGTCAATTCAACACTCTCTTCACAGAAAAGTAGTCCTAATTTCTTTCATCATAGAAAATACCATGCCCCGGCACCCCTCAAATTAAAAAAAAACCCCTTCAAAACGTTCCAAGTTTCCAAATTAATACACAGCTCTAATTCCCTACAAGTGACGTCACCACTCTCCGAATAACCTCTCTTCAACCTCCAATGCTAGCATCACCCGGGTCTTATTTATATAATATCTCTTCCTCTATCTCTTCCTCTATCTCTTTCTCTATCTCTTCCTCTATCTCTTCCTCTATCTCTTCCTCTATCTCTTTCATGATATCACAATACGTAGCGCTACTAAAAGAAAACAAGTCTGACACACTACAGAACGGTTCAGCAGGCAGCCACTCCCACTGAGGCTCTGGTGGCTGAAAGTATGTCAAGTCTGCCGTCTTAAAACTTAAAATAAGACCCGGTTATCTCTGAATCAACTCATCAAAACACTCTCTCGAACCAATCCCTCAACGGACGGACATATACTCCTCAACATAACCCCTCATAACCTGTGCCTCTCCGGTATCTAACCCCCTTTCCCCTCCATGATGAAAGAAACCCCAAAAATACCATTTAAACTCTACACTTCACCGAGCATTCCTTTACTTACTGCTCTTGCACTGCACTAGTCTAACAATGGTACCTGACAACACTGTATAATATTACGTTTACGTACATATTTACAAATATTCCTGACCTCTGTCGACTCACTCTCACACACTAAATAGTCTCCATTTCCTTAATTAAAATACAAAACAAACTATCCTATAATAAAATAGGATCCTACCGTTCGCGCCACTTGTAAGCAGTCGACACTTGCTTCCCGGTTCGAAGTTTATTTGCATTTAATTAAGGGTTTGGACAATGGAAACGAGCGTGATAATAAAGGGTAAACAAAGTTAAACTATGAAACAATACAATGAATAATTCGACAACCTCTACTTCAAATCCTAATTAACCAGACTCGTATCGCCCATAAACGCTCAGCGATCTAGTGCTGCAACATAAAACACGGATAGCACGGTCAACTCGCCTTGACCGTGCCTAATCTAGGTGCCCTGAAATAACCACTGTCGATTCTAAACCTCTAACGACACGTTCCATCCGTGCTCACCAGGCCCCAACCATAACTGGTCCTGGTCCCTTACACTAGTCCGGTATCAACCATGACCCTCTATCGAATAGGGTGAGAATGCAAACAAGGGGTATAATAAAGGTGCCCAAGGTACTTAACTGAACAACGAATAATCGAATATTTGCTCAACCAACGCTTAGTCACTTAGACTCATATTGCCTCAAATGCTGTGCAACAAATTCCTAATTGCTCCGATTCATACTGCCTCAAATATTACGCAACCTACTTCCTGCCGTTAATCCTACTCTTAATCTAGCTTTACCTATCTGAGTCAACCATTGCTGACTCTCGCTCTGCCAGAGCCCAGTGTTGTCAAGACATCCCCTGGTGTCGGCCACAACCAAGCCTGATAACAGTAATTACGTAATGCTCCATTATTCTACGGCCGCCAATCTTATACTTACCACTATAACCATCTACCTAACTAAACGACCTAACCTTAACCGGTTCTAGCTCCTACTCTTAGTCTAGCTTTACCTATCTAAGTCAACCAGCGCTGACTCCCGCTCTGCCAGAGCCCAGTGTTGTCAAGACATCCCCTGGTGTCGGCCACAACCAAGCCTGATAACAGTAATTACGTAATGCTCCACTATTCTACGGCCGCCAATCTTATACTTACCACTATAACCATCTGCCTAACTAAACGACCTAACCTTAACAGGTTCTAGCTACAGAACCTGCCCGGTATCAAAATGACCCCCCTCTCGATCGGGTAAACTGGCACTCCCGATCTCAAAAGGCTAATCGTCTTTTCCTCTCGCCCCTGATAGTCTAAACAATCTACCATTTCCCGGGAATTGCAAACTGTCCTGTCGATAGCCACAACATAGTACCACTAGTATTCTGTAAACACTCCATAATTCAACCTCGTACTGACCCAAACATATGTTAAACTGACCTCTCTGCACTTAAACTGCAATAACTGTCGTATACTAATATATGCCCGAAATACTACCGTCACATACTGGACACCACGACCGCCTTATTATAATCACTACACTACCTAGATATTACACCATATTACCCTAAATTCATCTCAATTAATCACGGTTTACAATAATAACAACAAAACGGCTGCGTTGGTTTGGACATGTCAGTAGAATGCCTGAAAATCGGTTACCCAACTATCTAATAGAAACCCAAGCATGGGAAGAGATCAAGAGGCCTAGGAAGAGCTTAAATGATGTATTTATTGAGGATGCTGAGCAGAGATTGGATTGGAATGGACTCACGATTGTTTGTATGAGAAGATTAGCTGCAGATCGAAAGGGATGGAGAAATGTTACCCGCCGAAGTTGTATTATTGAAGCTTTTAAGGTAACTAATGGTTTGACTGATTATGGTTCAGACTTGTTCAGACCAAGCAGATCAGGTCTTAATCTGGTTTCATCCAATAGATGTAGTAAAAGTGTGACAAAAGTCAAGAATATCTTTTTTCCCGGAGCAAGTTATTGCATATTGGAACAAACTCCCTCCGGACGTCAAGAACTCTGTGACAGTTTTAGGTTTTAAAATTAAATTAGAAGGATTTAAGAAAGATATGATTTCTAAAAGTATAACAAATGATTGCTTTTTTTCGAATGTTTCTAATGAAGTTTTTAAAAAAAAGGAGCCAGTTATGTCAGTAATAAAGAGAAAAATAACAATTATCTTTGGTTCCATCCTTGTGTGGCAAAGAAGCGTTTTATAAATCTTTTTTCCACTGGGAAGTTTTTGAAATAGGATAATGTTTTGGATGAAATTGTTTTTAAATATTGTATTTGATAAATAATTAATGTTGGTGGGGAAATATTTATTATATATTTTTTCACACAGTGTGATGATATTTTGTAAACATGTGTGATGATGTGACATCACATCATCACACATGTTTACAAAATCTGTCAAAATTTATTTTACTTATAATACAAAGTAATGACGCAGTCAATCTCGACGCAGACTAATCCTTTTATTTTGGATGGAGATATCGCCATGTAACATGTATGTAGTAAGTATATTTTATTTATTTGTTTTCACTTCTGCATGTTTAGGCAGTTGCTCTTGCGACCAGAGTTTTAAAGTTATATATATACTGTAAAGTGATTTAGCAGGCTTGGTTAAAATTATGCTTAAGATACTATGTTTATATGTTAATATTTACCTATTGCAAAATTTTCTCTGCACATTCGTTTTAGTTCATCTCCTTATTACTGGGCCGGCAGCAATCAGTCTGTCATTCCAGGCAGCTGCTTATTTGTCGATTATTAATTGACTAGCCTGGCGTGCGCTACTTCGTTAATCGTAGCACTTGCCTAATATGGCTAACATTTTGTAAAGAAAGCGCGTCGACAAAATTTAGCGATTAACATCCGTCAATTGTTTATAAACTGCGGTGGAATAAAAGGGAGTAAAGTAAAGTTTACTTCAAATTATTTGTTACATAGTAGTGTTGAAAGTATTAAAAACACAATTTTGTTTTCTAATAGGATAAAACAATATATTTATAACTGATAATATACGAAATATTTTACAGAACTATTAATTGTATGACCTTGGTTATACATTATTTTTCATGGTGATAAATTAGTTTCTGAAATGAAATTGTCTTCGTAGCTTATTTATAACGTACATGTTGACTAGATCTCCCATTTCTGACTAAATGCATCCATCAAAAACTTATCCTGTAAAACACTGTATAGTATCAAATTTATAATAGATGCAGGCACCCCTGATTCAAAATAACATTACTACTGATTTTAACTTCCTTTTGAATTATTTTATTAATTTAACCAGAATACTCTTCAGATGTCATGTCCTCACATTAAAAGCGAAGTAAAAACCGAAGAAGAGGATTTGAGAAACAAAACTGGAGGTTTTCTGTGTCCAGCATGTGGTGAACAACTTTTCTACGAGAAGTATTTCCTTGAACATATCAGGGAACGTCATTATAAGCCTGACCTACGAGTACAAGATGAGGAGCACAGTTTGTTACATGAGTTTTCTGGAGGTTCTGTTCATAACAATGGTCATGTTACAGAACAAGATGGTTGTTGTGTTCAAAATAAATGCGATGTTGTTAAATCAGAAGTAAAAACGGAGCAGAGTGAAATTAACGTCATGTTTGGAGGCTTTCTCTGTTCAGTTTGTGGGGAAAAGATTCAGGAGGAGAATAGTTTCATTGAACATATCAAAAATCATGTAGAAAACTCCGGCAAACGAAAAAGACCAAAATTTGATGTATTTAAATTTAATGATAGTGATAATATAATGAGTAGTCCTCTGGAATATTCCGATCCTCAAGAAAAGATCCGTAATATTATTCAATATAACATAACAACTCACTCTGGAGAAAAACCATTTAAATGCCTGTTCCCAGATTGTTCGTATGCAGCAGCTAATAAATCAAACCTCAGAGTACATTTTAAGACTCACTCGGGAGATAAACCATATAAATGTCCAGATTGTTCGTATGCATCAGCTTATAAATCAAGCCTCAAAGTACATATGAAGACTCATTCGGGAGAGAAACCATTTAAATGCCCAGATTGTTTGTATGCAACAGCCAATAAATCAAACCTCAAAGAACATTTGAAGACTCACTCTGTAGAGAAACCATAGAAATGTCCAGATTGTTTGTATGCAACAGCTAATAAATCAAACCTCAAAGAACATTTGAAGACTCATTCGGGAGAGAAACCATTTAATTGCCCAGATTGTTCGTATGCAACAGCTTATAAATCACACCTCAAAGTACATCTGAAGACTCACTCAGGAGAGAAACCATATAAATGTCCAGATTGTTCGTATGCAACAGCTAATAAATCACACCTCAAAGTACATCTGAAGACTCACTCAGAAGAGAAACCATATAAATGTCCAGATTGTTCGTATGCAACAGCTAATAAATCACACCTCAAAGTACATCTGAAGACTCACTCAGTAGAGAAACCATTTAAATGCCCAGACTGTTCGTATGCTTCAGCTTTTAAATCAAGCCTCATAGTACATTTGAAGACTCACTCGGGAGAGAAACCATTTAAATGTCCAGTTTGTTCATATGCAACAGCTCGGAAATCAGACCTCAAAGTACATCTGAAGACTCACTCTGTAGAGAAATCATTTAAATGCCCAGATTGTTCGTATGCTTCAGCTTATAAAGCATACCTCAAGGTGCATTTGAAGATTCACTCGGGAGATAAACCGTTTAAATGTCCAGATTGTTCGTATACAACAGCTCGGAAATCAGACCTCAAAGTACATTTGAAGATTCACTCGGGAGATAAACCGTTCAAATGTCCAGATTGTTCGTATGCAACATCTCGGAAATCAAGCCTACAAAATCATTTTCAGATTCACTCTGGAGATAAGCCATTTAATTGTCCAGATTGTTCGTATGCTTCAGCTTATAAAGGTAACCTCAAAGAACATCTGAAGACACACTCGGGAGAGAAACCATTTAATTGCCCAGATTGTTCATATGCATCAGCTTTTAAATCAGACCTCAAAGTACATTTGAAGATTCACTCGGGAGATAAACCGTTTAAATGTCCAGATTGTTCGTATGCAACAGCTCGGAAATCAAACCTCAATGTACATATGAAGACTCACTCGGGAGAGAAACCTTTTAAATGTCCAAATTGAATGTCCTAGACCGGTAGGAAATATTCAAACTATTCATTGCATCATTTTTTTCTCTGGATACACTGCTTCCAAAATTTCAAAACTGCGAAAATTCGATGAAGGGGATGGCAGAAAAGCTTCTCTTTAAAACTCTTCCAAAATTTCTTTTTATATTCTGATGATTTTCCGTTTATTAAAGTTTTCTTTGGAAACAGAACTTTGAGTACCTCAATTGTGTCTTTTGCCATCCTCAGTGACCTTCAATGATGGTAATCCAAGACGGTGGTATTCTCGACCACCAGAGGTATTGCTCCAGGCAACCATGCTCCTTAAACGAGTAGCAAGACTCCTGGCATCCATGCTCCTTAAACGAGAAGCAAGACTCCTGGCAACCATGCTCCTTAAACGAGTAGTAATACTCCTGGCATCCATGCTCCTTAAACGAGAAGCAAGACTCCTGGCAACCCTGCTCCTTAAACGAGTAGTAAGACTCCTGGCATCCATGCTCCTTAAACGAGAAGCAAGACTCCTGGCAACCCTGCTCCTTAAACGAGTAGCAAGACTCCTGGCAGCCAAAACCAGCCAGGACGAAAGATTTTAATTTACTAATATATTGATTGTAATTAACACATAATATTTATTACTGGAGCAGTGATGACAGGATTTTTTTTTTTTATTAAATACTTTTCAAATTTTACAGAGTACAGCAATAGATGAATATAAAATAGAATCGTTCAAAATATCGCCCCCATCTGTAAAATATGATGGGCACCCAAACACGGTAAACACATAGTGAACTATGTCCGCAGTAACTTGGACCCATTACATCGAATTAATCTAAATCCAAAAATTTATGAAAAACTATTTAATAACAAACAAATCCATGGTGAATAACTGTGGATATATAGTCAAAATTGGTATTTCAATACGTCAAATTCCAGATACATTAGATACAGGTCTGATATGGTCATTAATGTGTGAGGTGTGCGGGTGAAGTGTGATATGATGTTGAAAGTATAGGAAGGTAGATAAAAAATTAATAAAACAAAAATAATAATAATATGGGGAGCAAAGAGACTAGGCTAGGCTGTTGTTTCACTATCCAATAAACATTTCCATAGATGCTTAGTGACCTCAGCTTTGAAAACACTTGTAGACACAATCTGTCTTACCTGTAAAGGGAGTCCATTCCACAGTATATGAGTTCTGTAGAAAAATGATTTTGCCAGTGGGCTATTTGAGGTACATAAGGTGTGTGAATTCTGACTTAACTTAGGTAAAATTGATGACACAATAGACAGACTGTCGAGGTGGCAACGTCTTAGTCGAGAAGTGCCCTGATATAAAGTGAGATAGTGAGGCAGCCATACAGGAATTAAATTGTTCAGAACTTTGTGGAAAAAAATAAGATCATTCAAGTCAAACTTTTGAGACAAAGGGAGAATGTCGACAAGCTTGCACTTTTTGACATATTGCTCAGGTGGATAACTGCGGCCCTCTTCAGACAGAATCCATTTAATAGCTCTCTTTTGGAGACTTTCTAATTTATCACTAAGTGATTTATTACAAGGGCGCCAGATTATGGAACAATTTTCGAATTGGCTACGAACCAGGGAGAGGTAAAGCGCCCGACGACGTTTCTGATCAATGACAATATGGCCATCTCTTCTGACCATACCAAGTTGTTGGCAGGCCTTAGTATAAATTCTGTCGCACTGACTATTCCAACTGAGCTTAGGAGTAACATCGACTCCAAGATCTTTTTCTAACTCTACATACACAAGAGGAGAGCCATCAAGATTATATGCGAATGGAGGAGATAAAGATGGTTTTCCTGAAACAATAAGCACTTTACATTTTGCTGGATGGAATCGCATTTTGTTTCTAAGTGCCCAGTCAGAGAGATAGTCTATATCCATTTGTAAATTGGTATTATCAGAAGATGAATGTATTTTACGCCAGATTTTTGTATCATCGGCATACAAAACAATATCAGTATTATCCGAAAGGCCAAGAGGAATATCATTGATAAACAATACAAAAAGTAAGGGACCAAGGATAGAGCCCTGGGGGACACCAGAATTAACTGAAAGGGTAGATGACATCTCATTACCAATAACCACTCTTTGGTAACGGCCTTGAAGGTAATTGGTAAGAAATTTGAGAAGTGTACCATCAATGTTATATAAGGTCTTTAGCTTATGAAGAAGGATATCATGATTTACAGAATCAAATGCCTTAGCAAAATCAAAATACACAACATGATTGATAATGTTTTCGTTAAGAGACAATGCCAGGCTATCACAAAAATCAACCATATTGGTTGTGCATGACTTGTGCTCTAGAAAACCATGCTGCCTGGGATCAAGAAGGGTACTTGTCAAAGAAAGCAGTTTACGTTTAACAATGCGCTCAAAAACTTTCATGACTAAACAAGTAAGGGATATTGGTCTATAGTTTTCAACCTCACTTTTCTTACCTTTCTTAAATATTGGGACAACATTTGCAAGTTTCCATTCTTGTGGAATGTAGCCGCTGTTGTAGGATCCACGAAAAATGCATGTTAGAGGGTAAGCTAAACCTAAGGAACAATTTTTTAGAATTTTACCGTGTATGCCATCTGGTCCCTGGGCTTTATTTGAATTAATATTTGAAAGAAGCTTACGAACATCCCGATGATCGAAGTCAATATCAAAATCAACATCATTGACATAGGAGATGTCAGTGTCATAAAGTGAAGGATCCGAAAACTGGTTATAAAAGAAAGAATTGAAAAGTTCAGCTTGATCTTTGGGATTGAACCGAAGCTGTCCAGAATAACTAACACAATTAGGAATACGGCAGGAGTTAGATTTATACTTAACATGTGACCAAAACTTCTTAGTTATAAGCGCTGGATCATCACTATTAAAAAGATTATCTCTTATTTTGGCTGATGAGAGCCTCTTAAAATCTTTACGGCTAGTAACAAACTTTAACTCATCAGAAATAGAACCAGAAATTTTAAATTTAGCTCTGAGTCTATCTTTTTTACGGCATGAAGAAAAAAGTTCACTATCGAACCACGGGGGTTAGAACTCTGATTTAATAATTACTTTAGGAATATGTATATCAACTAAATTCATAATGCAGTCTTTAACTAACTTCCAAGACGAATCAGGATCTAGGCATTCTAGGACTTGCCAATTAATCGAGCATAATTCACGATTAATCATGTCCCAGTTTGCTTTCTTAAAATTATAGATTTTACGTTTAGGAGTTTTCTTACGGGAAAAGGAGCTTTTAATTGAAAAAGTGACAGGAAAATGATCAGATTTGCACACGGAATGAGGATCACAGACATTCAAGTTATCGATTGTGTTATCATAATTACTGAGAAGAATGTCTAATGTATTACCACTTTTATGGGTGGGTGATGTGATCAACTGGGAGAGAGAAAGATCACTGAAAGAATCTATGAAGGATTGCTCAATAGGTACGGTACTGGATGAAGATAGCCAGTCTGTATGGGGGAGATTAAAATCACCAATAACATAGATTTTAGAGGGATTCTTTTTGGAAACTAGCTTGCGAATATAACTAACTATGACATCATGATTAGGTAACCCAAGAGTTCCTACTCTATAACAAGTACAGATTACAATACTCTCTTTGTTAGGAAAAGAAATTTTAACGGCAAGCATTTCTGCACCTAGGCTAACTGGTAGTCGGGTTGTAGTGGCGTCGAGATCAGACCGAACAGCCAAAAGAACACCACCTCCATTTTCCCTAAACTTTTTAGGGTTATTAGGATCTTGAGGATGAGTCTTTCTCGTGCGGTCATTGCGGAAGATTTCATATTGAGAAGAAGGAAAGATTTCGTTGCTAGAAATAGATTTTTTGAGCCAAGTCTCATTTAGGGCAATTATGTCAGGCTGCTCTATGTTAGCAAAGGATTGAAGTTCGGAAATCTTATTACCATCAAGAAGGGGATGGGAGGAGCTTAGGTTACTGAAAGGAATGAGACCTTGGACATTTTGGTAGAGTACAGATAGGGAGTTGGGACCTGGATTAAGCATAGAAGGATTAACAAGAGTTATCAAAAGAAAGTTAAGAGAGAAAACCCAAAGAATGAATAAAGAGACTAGACGCCTGAGGCGGCTGGAATACTTGACTCTATTCATCTTACCAGGGAGAAGAACATTTCTTATAAACCATGAGGAGATAATTACAAAGAAAAGTTTGATGTGGGAGCAAGCAAGAAATGGTATAAGATAACGTGGGCTGTCAAGGAGTAGAGAGGAATGAATATTAGAATCTAGGGGGAATACGGTGTTCATGGACCTAACCGTGGAGAGAAGAATTGGGAGAAAGTAAGTCATGATGAGAGAATAGAAGAGAAACATATGATTATGATAATTGTAGTTGATGTGTGGGGTGTATGGAGACTTAAATGTGTAAATTTTGTTAGGTATAAACGTGTTGATATGTATATGTGCATTTCTTGACTGTGTACGAGGCCTTTTGCATGCAAAAAGACCTATTCTAAGTCTAAACGATTCATTGTCTAACATATTGGAAAATGGACAGTGACCGAATGTACCTGAAATGGGAGGCATAAAATTGAGAAAAAGATTAAATCAGAGATTTGTTTGAGTTTTAATTTTAGGCGCAACGTCTTAATCAAAATATTAAATGGAAGAAAAGATCAAAGATTTAAATTCCCAGAAGATTATTTACAACCCTGTCAAAACTGTGTTCGTTTACAACAAACTTAAGCCAAGTGGACAGTAAACCTACTCCTCTGATGTTGAGATGAAGCCAATCATGGTATAGAAGTTCATTACATGATCTAAAGTCTCGAGTTAAAAAGACTGAGAAACAGTCTAAGAACACGCAATTATTATTTAGGCATAAGTCTTTAAGTAGATTATTAAAATCTAGAACATTCTTTGCTATGTAGGAATATAAACATTTAATAGGAAGACAACATTGGATAATTATAATTGCAGCGGGAAATAACTTCTTAGTGGTGTCAATTAATTCAGTAAGATACTTCCTAAGGAACTGAACCCCATACTTAGAATGTTTAATGTCATTTGTACCAACACTCAATATAATTTTTTCAATATCGTCAGCTTCTGCAGCTGCATGAGTTTTATGAAAATTATGAATGTTTTCAGTGATGTCTCTAATTTTTGCACCACTTTGAGACACATTGATTACTTTCCTTCCCCGGAATCCCAACTTATTTGTCCGTACGAATTTTGTCATTGACGTACCAAACAGGACAGTGGTTTTCCTGCTCTTCGGTTTTCTTGGAGTATTTCGGTAGTAAAGGGTTGGTGTTGAGGTGGTGGTGGGCGGCATAGGAATTGTAGTGCGGGCAATCTGCTCCTTGACTACATTTGTATCTGTCTTCGGTATCTGGCAGCGAAAAGATAAGCTATACCGAGTCCCCTTAACTGAGCTCTCTGCACGAACCTTGTGAAGACAATATTCCTGACACCCCGGTTTCATAATATACAAACTACAGTCCTTTGGGGTGATATAGCATTTACTGTTACATCGCTTATCCCCATTTTCTGGAATTATGTCGATGGTCCTCTCAGCTCCAAATGAAACTACATAAATACCTTGCGACTGGTCAAGAGACACCTCGTCGTCGTTGTGGTACCTAGTTGCACAAGAACCAGACTTGTACATGCTTGCTAGGCATGAGTTTAGCTTGCAGCCAAACTTGGAGTTGATATCATGCATAAGCTCTGATATCCCAGGATAATTTAAAATATCGATTGGCTCCTTAGTCGTGGTGTGTCCATTTGAGGAAGACCATACATATTCTTCTCCAGTCGAAGTGAGCCACTTTGTGGCAGTTTTCACAGCAGTTTGCTTGGCCATAAGTGTTTCAAGTTCAGACATCAACGTGCCATGTTGAACACTCTTGTTCTGAACAAAATCTGAATGCAACTCCAAGAAGTCCTCGCATTTAACAGAATTTCTCTTAAGTTTCATGACATTCTCAACACTGGCCTTGAGAGCTTTCAGCTCATTTAATGAAAACGAGTTTAAAACATTGGTAACAGAATTCAGATCCATAGTGATGTGAGGAAGAGGGAGGAGAAAATGGCGGTGAGGGAGGAGAAAATGGCGAAGTCAATACTGTAGCCCAGGAAGTAGATGCGTTGCTTAGGATACAAACGGTCACGTCATAGTCTCTTCTATCGCTTTGACATTGGGACCTAAAATTATTTGTTATATAGTAGTGTTGAAAGTATTAAAACTATTTAATTTTTGTTTTGATTTATTCAACCGGCCGGAGTGCCATATACTGATTACCAACACAGGACGTAGCCTTAATTTTCCAAAGGTGGTCGTTTTGTCCCACAATGCAAGGTATGGTAGAATCATGTGCTATTAATGATTTTCAAACAAAGTTACAACGAATTCTTCATGTAGTGCATCCTGGGTTTGGACAGGATTAGATATGCCCATTTAAAATATTTCCATCACGTTACATTACATAATTCTCAATAAATTTAATAGATTTGTAGTGTTGTAATTAGTTTAAAACTATGACTTCTAGTCTGGTCTGTGTACCTTTGCTGCATTTATTTTTGCCTTATCAATCAGTTGCTCCTATCAATACTTCGACAATCAATTGTTTTATTAATAAAATGATAAAAACCTGAACCCAATATTCGTCAAAATTAAGCATTTTTCATCCTTTTTTGTTTTATCTGAACCATTCAACAAGAGTTCAGGGGCAAACTATTTCATTATATTCATTCTAAATAAACTTCCTATTATAAACCATATCAAACTTCCTATAATATCCTAAATATGCAGCAGAAATGTCTGGAAATGTGCCAACAGTTTCTTTTATATCAGCCTGGACCAAGTTTACTACGACTCATAGTGATGAACTTATTGTGGAACTTTCCAGATCAATTAACGTGAGTCTATGAATCTATTTTTAAATTTTTTATTGAAATCTTTCAAATCAATCAATTACATACAAATTACACAATGGAAAAAGCTACAAAATATACCTTGAATCACTAAATTTTGTTCTAATACAGGGAGCCCATAAGTCAGTATGCAAACATTTGGGTTTGTAAATTAGTCCTTCTTCTATGTTTGAGACTTGTAAATTTGCAAATGGCACACTGTAACTACTCATACGAGGATTCTGTTCCAAAATGTTGCAAATTTGATTGGAGGTCACACCCTTTCAACATTAAATTGTTTGTAATTATCTTGGGCAACAGCATAAAAACAGCTCAACTTGATTTAAGATAAAAATTAACTTCATCATTGTGTTCGCTGTCCTCTAATTAGCAAGTAGTATCAGGAAATATTCCTCGTATCAGGAATATTTATTTTTCAATTTCGGCCGAAAAAATTGCCCATTTTTTCGTTAACTTTTAGTCAACTGGGTATGGGCATCGATGGGGTTGACCCCTCAATCATATTATTGGGCAATCATGTGATTGTGTGACACCTTGATCATCTGATCCCAGACGTCATGGTAGAGCCACAGTCAGGACAAAATATGTAATTTTCACATTACATTACAATTTGACTTGATCCAATCGTTCATAATACCTTAATAATAGGGTTTTATATGTTATGATAATTAGTGACTAATACGTCAAGCTAATTAGTGACTAATACGTCATGCTAATTACAAATATGTATCCTGTTATATGATATGTGGTATATCATTCACTCAAAATTGCATTTACCACGTTCTGCATTGATAAATCCCTTTCTGTTTATCTACAGTTTAAAATCTGGAATAGGGTAAATTTAGAAAGCTGATGGTCAGGAACGAGATAAGACCTTCATTAGATTTAAAATGCTTTAGGTGTGCTCATGTGCTGCAAACTGTTCTTATCAGTTTCCCTGGTCTGATGAAAATAAGCCTTATACAGTCCGACCAAGTGACTCCTGGAGAACACGAATTTCTTGTTAAATCTTTAAATCATGTGCTCTGCCAAAGATTATTGCTATAAAGAAATTTAGTATTCGATAGGTTAACAGTCTGGCTGACAGTTTCTTAGTAGCATAAAGGGTTAACTCAAGAGATATTGTGACAGGTGTGACTACTCGACAATTTCATGTTTTATCATTTCTGGTGCAACCTCTACAGTCCATAATATCAATTAGCGACTTTAGTGAACGAGCGCCTTATTAATACATATTATTCCCGGAAATTATCGCAGCATTTGAAATTAATAGTGCACTTCAAATTAATTGTTATATATAATAGTATTGTTGAAAGTATTAAAAACACAATTATGTTTTCTAATAGGATAAAACAATATATTTATAACTGATAATATACGAAATCAACAGAGACCTGGATGTCCGTATCCAGAAGGCTAATGGCGCCTTTCATCAGCTCTGGAACATTTGGAATAGCAGAACTATAAAGACTCCAACCAAGATCAGGATCTATAGGGCTGCTGTCCTCACCATCTTGTTGTATGGAGCTGAAGTCTGGAACACCACCAAAAAGCAGATGAAACGCTTCGAGGTTTTCCATCAAACCTCCTTGAGAAGGATCCTTAGGATTAAATGGTTCTTTCATGTGACCAACGAAGAAGTTCTTAGGAGGGCTGGCATCAAGTCAGTCGAGACTTTCATCAGTGCTGCCAGGCTACGTTGGTATGGACATGTAGTTAGAATGCCAGACTCTAGACTACCGAGGTTTCTGTTGAACTGGAAGCCAAATTATGGAAAGAGGTCAAGGGGCAGACCCCGTAAGAACTGGAAGTCCTGCGTACTCGAAGATGCTGCTAAGTTTACAGGTGTTGAAAACATCGACAACAACACGACAGAAGCTTTGGCTACCAACCGAGTACAGTGGAGACATATGTTACGCCGCCAACGCGATGTGTGTGATGCAGGCCACTCCAACGACTAGGAGGAGACCTTACCATGTAACATGTATGTGTAATATACGAAATAGTTTACAGAACTGTTAATTGTATGACCTTGGTTAAATACATTGTTTTTCATGGTGATAAATATATTTTCTGGAATGCAATTGTCTTCTTAGCTTATTTATAACGTATATTGACTTAAATCTCCCATTTCTGACTAAATGCATCCATCAAAAACTTATCCTGTAAAACACTGTATCAAATTTATAATAGATGCAGGCACTCCTGATTCATAATAACATTACTACTGATTTTAACTTCCTTTTGAATTATTTTATTAATTTAACCAGAATACTCTTCAGATGTCATGTCCTCACATTAAAAGCGAAGTAAAAACCGAAGAAGAGGATTTGAGAAGCAAAACTGGAGGTTTTCTGTGTCCAGCATGTGGTGAACAACTTTTCTACGAGAAGTATTTCCTTGAACATATCAGGGAACGTCATTATAAGCCTGACCTGCAAGTACAAGATGAGGAGCACAGTTTGTTACATGAGTTTGCTGGAGGTTCTGTTCATAACAATGGTCATGTTACAGAACAAGATGGTTGTTGTGTTCAAAATAAATGCGATGTTGTTAAATCAGAAGTAAAAACGGAGCAGAGTGAAATTAATGGCATGTTTGGAGGCTTTCTCTGTTCAGTTTGTGGGGAAAAGATTCTGGAGGAGAGTAGTTTCATTAAACATATCAAAGATCATGTAGAAAACTCCGGCAAACGAAAAAGACCAAAATTTGATGTATTTCAATTTAATGATAGTGATAATATAATTAGTAGTCCTCTGGAATATTCCGATCCTCAAGAAAAGATCCGTAATATTCTTCAATATAACATATCAACTCACTCTGGAGAGAAACCATTTAAATGCCTGTTCCCAAATTGTTCGTATGCAGCAGCTCATAAATCAAGCCTAAGAGTACATTTGAAGACTCACTCTGTAGTGAAACCATATAAATGTCCAGATTGTTCGTATGCAACAGCTAATAAATCAAACCTCAAAGTACATTTGAAGACTCACTCGGGAGAGAAACCATATAAATGTCCAGATTGTTCGTATGCAACAGCTAATAAAGCATACCTCAAAGTACATTTGAAGACTCACTCGGGAGATAAACCATATAAATGTCCAGATTGTTCGTATGCAACAGCTAATAAAGGAAACCTCAAAGTACATCTGAAGACTCACTCGGGAGAGAAACCATTTAATTGCCCAGATTGTTCATATGCATCAGCTTTTAAATCAAACCTCAAAGTACATTTGAAGACTCACTCTGTAGAGAAACCATTTAAATGTCCAGATTGTTCGCATGCAACAGCTTATAAATCACACCTCAAAGTACATTTGATGACTCATTGGGGAGATAAACCATATAAATGTCCAGATTGTTCGTATGCAACAGCTAATAAATCAAGCCTCAAAGTACATTTGAAGACTCATTCAGGAGAAAAACCATTTAATTGCCCAGATTGTTCATATGCATCAGCTTATAAATCAAGCCTCAAAGAACATTTGAAGATTCACTCGGGAGATAAACCGTTTAAATGTCCAGATTGTTCGTATGCAGCAGTTCAGAAATCAAAACTCGATGTGCATATGAAGACTCACTCGGGAGAGAAACCTTTTAAATGTCCAAATTGAATATGTCCCTGGTACTAGGACATATTCAAAATGTTCATTGCATCATCGTTTTCTCTGGATATACTGCTTCCAAAACTTCAAAACCGCGAAAATTCGGTCAAGGGGCCCGGCAGAAAAGCTCCTCTTTAAATCTCTCCCAAAATCTCCTTTTATATTCTGATGATTTTCCGTTTTCTTTGGGAACAGAACTTTGAACCTCAATCGTGTCTTGTACCACCCTCAGTAACCTTGAATGATGGTAATTCAAGACGGTGGTATTCTCGACCACCAGAGGTATTGCCCCCAGGCCAGGCAACCAGCCAGGACGAAAGATTTTTAATTTATTGTTTTGATTTATTTAACCGGCCGGAGTGCCATATATATGGACACGTTCATTTGAGTTTGAGGATATTGGTAAACAAAAATAATAGCGTTTTTGACGATAGTGGCTTAATTTTGACATCTATTAACCTAGCACGTTCAGAAGTTCTGAACATTAGCCACGTAACCCATACTCCCATATGCACCGCTCAGAAAGAAAATCTATTGTTGTTAGGCACTATAATGTTTCAAATGTCACATTCTGTGTGACTTAGTTAACTGCAGTTGTCTAATTATCATTCCTTGGTCTGAAATATAGTAAATTAGGTCTATCTAACAATTATGATACAACATTGGTTAATGGGCACGGATCGAACGGTTACAAGGCAATATTTGGGTAACTTTGTCACACTCATGATACCATACCTCTATTCTACTGTGAGGTGTCCTAAAAACCCTTTCAACTCATTATTTTATGGTTGCTCTACCAAGCATAGCCCTAAAATATGTTGTTTTGAATAGTTAGCTAATACAGGCACTTGGTTATTGGGAAATGAGGTTAATTTTGTCACAATAATATATGAAATTTAAAATTTTGGGCGAATAATTTATATCTGATTTTGGTTTGAAAGGCGGGAAAATTTAATATGATGACAATGTAGTTGATGCAAGTTAAGATCAGTTGATGTTTACATTGTCACAAAAAATTATACGAAATCGTAAATAGATTAAAAACAATGATTATAGAATGAAATAGTCTCTTATAATAACTCTTATAATAACTGATGTGACAAAGTAAACATGTCTTGCTCCTATTTTGAAGATCTATATTCTATACCTCTATTACAATATTGTCCAGAACATCAGAGCTTAAGTTTAACAATTTTAGGTTAAATTTGTCAAAGTCACTAAAAATGTGACAAAATGTGACGATTACCTAACTCTTATAATAACTGATGTGACAAAGTAAACATGTCTTGCCCCTATTTTGAAGAACTATACTTCTATTAGAATACTATGTAACTTTATCATCAAAAAAATGTCGATAAACTAGTTATTTTGCCAGCAAGGAGCTAACAGAGTTATAATAATTTTTTGTGACAAAATTACCCTATTTTTGACCATGTAGCGGTAGTTTAATTGTGACACTGTTAACATATTACCACCTGATATTGATTTATGTGACTGGTGCATGGTACTAGCAGTGTTGTTTGATCCATAGTACGTATAATATAAGGGGTTTAAGCTGGTATATCATTATTTGTTCAATTTCACACATGTTCAGATATTATCAAGATTGTGTGACAAAGTAAGCTTGGTTGTGCCTTCTGTGTTTTAATTCCTTACGACTATATGATATAATAACAATTCCCAGCACTTCCAGGCCATCAAATAAACTTACACTACTCAGCATTGCTTATCAGGGTGCCCTAAACATTCATCATATATTTTCTTTAATGTGTGACAGAGTAAACCTGAATGCATCATCTAACGAAAAAAGTCGTCAAATATGTAGGTAATGGTCATATGTACCCATCCAATCAACTGGACACTCAAAAATTTGGTCAAAAACGGCAGCAAGGGGTCCATATTTACTCCGTCACATGTTTATAGTGTGACAATGTAACCATTTCCGTGCCGGCCGTATTTAAGCGATATCTTATCACCTGATTAAGATATCATTATGTGACAAAGTTAGCCTAGAGGATGAGACGATTATCCTAACCATCAAGGGTTTAAGTAATTTCATAGTGTGACAAAGTCAACTACACTGTGCCTTTTAATAGGGTCACTTATATTTACCAATATCCTCAAACTCAAATGAACGTGTCCATATATACTTGTTACCAACACAGGACGTAGCCTTACTTTTTCCAAATGTGGTCGTTTTGTCCCACAATGCAAGGTATGGTAGAATCATGTGCTATTAATACTTTTTAAACAAAGTAACAACGAATTCTTCATGTAGTGCATGGGGGGGGGGGGGGGGGGGGGGGGCCAATGGCATAAATGGAGAAAATGGAGAATTACTCATAGGTTTTTCCATTTTCTCCATAGAAATAGTCTCCATTTTATGCCATTGAAAACCTGAAAAATTTAGAATTTCGAGAAAAATTATTTAAAAAAAAGATATTTTCGGCCAATAATGAACAGGGTATCATGAAACATGGAGAAAAGTGGTTTTCAGGAAAACTTTGAAAAATGTTGTAAAAATTGTGTATTATCATTATTTGCCGAAAATATTTTTTCGGTTTTTCGAAGTCCACACCTTCCCCTCGATACACAATTTTGGACTCGAGGTAATGCGATCTCGGAAGGCAGGCCTCCCCTTTGCAACACGAGCTCGGAATCGGGAGGTCTCGATACGAGAGGTACGTATCGAGAATGACTCGGGCCGAAAATTTTCTAAGTCAAAATTTTTCAAAGTTTTTCTTAAAACCACTTTTCTCCACGTTTCATGCTACCCTCTTCATTATTAGCCGAAAATATTTTTTTGGTTTTTCGGTTTATCGAAGTCTGCACCTACCCCTCGATACACAAATTTGGACTCAAGGCTTCCCCCTGGTAATGCGATCTCGGAAGGCAGGCCTCCCCTTTGCAGAGCGAGCTTGTTTCGACTTTCGAGGATGTAGGTCTCACTTCTCAGTGCCTATTACTCTCCGCTATTACTCACTCCTGCTGTAGCCTGTAGAATTAACTTTACACTAGGCTTGAGTAATTATGAGTTTGCCTGAAGTGTGCCTCTACTAAACTAGTATAAGCATCTAGTAGCCTACTATGAGCTTTCATAAGCTTGTTACGCCCCTAGTAAGCGTAAATAAAGATGTTAGGATGTCCAATTTAGGTGTTAAATGGTGTTAAAGATGAAATTCCGAAGACAAAATACATGGCATAAAATGGAGAAAATGGAGAATTACTCATGGGTTTTTCCATTTTCTCCATAGAAAAAGTCTCCATTTTATGCCATTTTATGCCATTTTATGCCATTGGCCCCCCCCCCCCTAGTGCATCCTGGGTTTGGACAGGATATAATGCCCATTTAAAATATTTCCATTATGTTACATTACATAATTCTCAATAAATTTAATAGATTTGTAGTGTTGTAATTAGTTTAAAACTATGACTCCTAGTCTGGTCTTTGTACCTTTGCTGAATTTATTTTAACCTTATCAATCAGTTGCTCCTATTAATACTTCGACAGTCAATTGTTTTATTAATAAAATGATAAAAACCTGAACCCAATATTCGTCAAAATTAACTATTTTTCATCCTTTTTTGTTTTATCTGAACCATTCAACAAGAGTTCAGGGGCAAACTATTTCGTTCTATTAATTCTAAATAAACTGCCTATTATAAACCATATCAAACTTCCTATAATATCCTAAATATACTTTGCAGCAGAAATGTCTGGAAATGTGCCAACAGTTTCTTTTATATCAGCCTGGACCAAGTTTACTACGACTCATAGTGATGAACTTATTGTGGAACTTTCCAGATCAATTAACGTGAGTCTATGAATCTATGAATCACTAAATTTTGTTCTAATACAGGGAACCCATAAAGGCCTCATGTAGCCGGTGGGCCCGACATGATACGACATATCTCGATACGTCGGGGTTTGTCAGGGTGTGTCGAGGTTTTTCGGGGTTTGTCGGGGTGTGTTGGAGTTTGTCGGGGTTTGTCGAGCCTGGAGGCTACATGGGGCCTCCATAAGTCAGTATGCAAACATTTGGGTTTCTAAATTAGTCCTTCTCTATGCAATCCAAATTTGCAAATGGTACACTGTAACTCATACGAGTTTTCTGTTCCAAAATGTTGCAAATTCGATTGGAGGTCACACCCTTCCAACATTAAATTGTTTGTAATTATCTTGGGCAACAGCATAAAAACAGCTAAACTTGATTTAAGATAAAAATAAACTTCATCATTGTGAAGCAATCAGCAACTTATGTATTCCTTGAATGAATGATGATAGCAAGTCTTATTAAAACAATTATATCAATCAAGCACCCAGTGATTAAGAAATAAGCCCAAACGTTTGCACAATGGGCCACACTGTAGATGCTTTGAATTTAATACATATAATACGTCATGCTAATAAGTGACTAATACGTTCTGCTAATTACAAATATGTATCCTGTTATATGATATGTGGTATATCATTCACTCAAATTGCATTTACCACGTTCTGCATTGATAAATCCCTTTCTGTTTATCTAGTTTAAAATCTGGAATAGGGTAAATATAGAAAGCTGATGGTCAAGAACGAGATAAGACCTTCATTAGATTTAAAATGCTTTAGGTGTGCTCATGTGCTGCAAACTGTTCTTATCAGTTTCCCTGGTCTGATGAAAATAAGTCTAATACAGTACGACCGAGTGACTCCTGGAGAACACGAATTTCTTGATAAATCTTTAAATCATGTGCTCTGACAAAGATTATTGCTATAAAGAAATTTAGTATTCGACAGGTTAACAGTCTGGCCGACAGTTTCTTAGTAGCATAATATATAAAGTATAATATATAAAGGGTAAGCATAATATATAAAGGGTAAGCATAATATATAAAGGGTTAACTCAAGAGATATTTTTACAGGTGTGACCACTCGTCAATTTCATGTTTTATCATTTCTGGTGCAACCTCTACAGTCCATAATATCAACTAGTGACTTTAGTGAACGAGTGCCTTATTAATATTATTCTCAGGAAATTATCGCAGCATTTGATGTGAAAGTAGATTACTCACCTTTGTACGAACCACTATGTGAACTTATAACTGACAATTCCATCTCTAGTCTTCTTCTGTCACAAGCTTTGTCGTTACTCAATAAACTTGGTGAGTTTTTAATTTTTATTAAATTTCTTTCTCCTAGTTATACAATTATTGAGGGTTCCAACTATTTTTATATTGTTCTATCACCTCAATATGTTATAGGTAATCTCTAAGTTTGTGTTAGTTTTTAAATAGGATTATAGAGAATAAATATTAATAATACTGATAGAGGTGGTGTAGTACAGTTATAGTTACAGTGTAGTACAGTAGTTACAGTGTAGTACTGTGGTGATCAGGTGCCAAGTGATGTAGCAGGTAGCTAGTTGGAATAACGTTGAACTGTTCTGCAAATAATGTTCAAAACTTAAATTGTTCCGAGACCATCACTTATTGATTCCATGTAGAATCGTTTGCATAAATAGGTAAATGATGAACTCATTTTGAAGCCATAATATGAAAAAAGAATTTTGCCCTCTTGTTTAGGGTGTTGCATCACTTATTTTTAAAGAGAAAGGAGAAAGTTTATGAAGGAGTAAAGAGAAAATAGAAGGTACTAATTTTTGAACACAACATTTTTTATTTAATTTAAATCACTTACCTGCCAGAATCCAGATTTTGAAATGGTCTTAACCCACCTAAATTTTAAACGATCAACTTGAAATTTTGGGACAAAAATAAATTACAAAACTTTCGGACGTGATTCAAAAACATAAATTGTACAGTGCAACACATTAATTGAATAGTATCCACTTTGGTGCCGAAAGCTCGTTATCAGCTGTAATCATGTATAATTTCAGTGGAAGAGAAAGAGAGACGACAGGAGTTAATAGCTCTGATACTACCTGCCCTGTCTTACCAAATCCTTCACAGATACAGACAACTACCATCTGATTCATTAATTAAACTGGTCAGTAGTTATTTTAAAATTATCCATTTCATTATCCAATTAATTATAATTATCGTTTGATTTTCGAATTTTATTTTAAATCTTATGAAATGTTAAATGTAGCTACGCATCTTAACTAATTTATATATTTATTTAATATGTAAATCAAAGACCAATAAGCAGTTGTCATAGTGGATAATATCCCTCTTTCACCTCCTCTAACAAGACTCCTGATTTCCCTCTTTCTCCTCCTCTAACAAGACTCCTGATCTCCCAGTTTCTCGTCCTCTAACAAGACTCCTGATCTCCCAGTTTCTCCTCCTCTAACAAGACTCCTGATCTCCCTCTTTCTCCTCCTCTAACAAGACTCCTGATCTCCCTCTTTCTCCTCCTCTAACAAGACTCCTGATCTCCCTCTTTCTCCTCCTCTAACAAAACTCCTGATCTCCTTCTTTTTCCTCCTCTAACAAGACTCATGATCTCCCTCTTTCTCCTCCTCTAACAAGACTCCTGATCTCCCTCTTTCTCCTCCTCTAACAAGACTCCTGATCTCCCTCTTTCTCCTCCTCTAACAAGACTCCTGATCTCCTTCTTTCTCCTCCTCCAACAAGACTCCTGATCTCCCTCTTTCTCCTCCTCTAACAAGACTCCTGATTTCCCTCTTTCTCCTCCTTCGAATTTTATTTTAAATCTTATGAAATGTTAAATGTAGCTACGCATCTTAACTAATATATATTTATATAATAATATGTAAATCAAAGACCAATAAGCAGTTGTCATAGTGGATAATATCCCTCTTTCTCCTCCTCTAACAAGACTCCTGATCTCCCTCTTTCTCCTCCTCTAACAAGACTCCTGATCTCCCTCTTCTCCTCCTCTAACAAGACTCCTGATTTCCTTCTTTCTCCTCCTCTAACAAGACTCCTGATCTCCCTCTTACTCCTCCTCCAACAAGACTCCTGATCTCCCTCTTTCTCCTCCTCTAACAAGACTCCTGATCTCCCTCTTTCCCCTCCTCTAACAAGACTCCTGATCTCCCTCTTTCTCCTCCTCTAACAAGACTCCTGATCTCCCTCTTTCTCCTCCTCTAACAAGACTCCTGATCTCCCTCTTTCTCCTTCTCTAACAAGACTCCTGATCTCCCTCATTCTCCTCCTCTAACAAGATTCCTGATCTCCCTCTTTCTCCTCCTCTAACAAGACTCCTGATCTCCCTCTTTCTCCTCCTCTAACAAGACTCCTGATCTCCCTCTTTCTCCTCCTCTAACAAGACTCCTGATCTCCCTCTTTCTCCTCCTCTAACAAGACTCCTGATCTCCCTCTTTCTCCTCCTTTAACAAGACTCCTGATCTCCCTCTTTCTCCTCCTCTAACAAGACTCCTGATCTCCCTCTTTCTCCTCCTCAAGTTCCATTTCCAGTTCCTCCATCAGCGGAACATCCTGATCATTGTCTAACATCTCATTACATTTGTCTTTAGTAGGCGGCACTCTCACCAACACACCCGACACTAACACTACACCCATTAAAGCAGCACTCATCACCAACGCACCTAACTTAGTCTCATCTGTCAGTATCTTACCAAGTGCCATGGATAGAGTGAATATTAGACCTGTGAGACACTCTCCAGCTATGGAGACCGAGGCAGTTGAGGCAAGATGAGACACTGCACTGTTAAAGGAAGTATGAGATGTAATGATAAGACACAGTAGTATTGTCCGACCGGGCCCACTAAGAACACAAGCTGAGAGCAGGGAGTATGAGAGAATACCAGTCAAGGAGAAGATGAGGATCTCGTATTTGAAGGGTAGGAAGGGAAGGAGGTAGGTGCCGAATACTGAGGATACAGCAACACCTCCCAGCTTAACATTCCACAGATTCCGATGGTAGAGGGGCTCCTTGTGGGCAAGTGTGCAGTTCTCAGGAGTAGCAGCGAAACAGGAGGCCCCAGCTGGTTCGTTTAATACTGAGTGAAATGTACAGAGGATAGTGGCTAGAATGAAGCCTTGGATGGCCCTTTGAGCTCCTACAATCAGAACATTCCGTCTGTTTCTCTTCTCCTTGAACAAATACGCAGGATTCCAAGAGTTTGTGGCAGAATCTTCACTAAAGTCGATCTCTTGAAGCCGCAGAGAGCTAATCTTGGGGCCTCTAAACACAGCTTCTATAGACCTCATAATCTGGCTGTACTTACCGTTTCT